GAGTTTTAAACATCACTTTAAATGGAAGATCCCCATAGGCCCCGCCCACTCGATCTGATCGGTATCGGCCGATACTGATTCCGGCGATCGGCCCCAAAATTGGCGATCGGAGCATCCCTAACAGAAATGAAAGAAAATTACAGAATAGATAACTAAGCTGATGTTCCCTTCCCTCCTCCCTTCTCCAGCAGATTGTGACTCGGTGCGTCTGATTGAAGAAAGTCCTACGGAGGCCCTGAAGGATCAAATCAACTTCAGAGACTCTGCGCTCAGCACACGCTTCGTCAACTACATCAAGGTAACATCTGTTTGATAACTTCTCTTTGGGTATCTGAGAAAAGACCAGTTAGCACCTGGAGGAGGATGGAGGTGAAGACACATGCAGCAGAGGGGGGAACAGCTCTTTAAAGAATTAAATGAAACAAGAGATACAAAAAAAATTGGATAATAATATTTAAATAAACAAAACAAGTTAAAATAAAATTGTGCAAAAAAATATATATAATAAAATAAAAATGGAATATTTATAGAAATATAATAAATAAAATAAAAAATGTGGAATAAAATATAAAATAAATTAACATATTAGTATGCAATAAAATAAATATATTTATATAAACATAAGAATTTAAAGCAAATATTAGGCATTATTATATACTATAATAATACAAAAATAAATATAATAATATACTTCTTATGTTTAGAGAAATATTTAAATTTTATTCATTTATTGCACATTTTTATTTTACCTTATTTTCTATATATAGATATTTAATTCTAGAATCGAGCCACCGCCTCAAACCCCAATTTCCCCTCCTGGATAAATGAAGTATTATAAAAACTGTAACACCCCGTTCTCCTAGTCGTTAGTTCAACGTGTTATTTGTGGCGTGGAGTTATGTAACATCTCTTGTTTGAGTTGTTTAATGGAGTCTGAACTGTCAGAGTGTCTCGTTTGCTCTGAAGTCCGCGCAGCGTTTATAGAGAGGAGCTCTAAAGCCTCGGAGTCACCGAGAGACTCTGAGACCAAATGAGGAGGAAACTCAAAACAAAGAGAGAGGAGGTGAAGCAGGAAGTGACCCTCACTCTGAAGAGATCGAGACGAAACAACAGCTTCAGTTTCTTTGAGCAAAATGCCCCGAAAACTGCAACTGCAGCGTCCAACAGAAGCAGTCGCTTTGATGTAGCTCAAATATAGCATGAGGGCGCTAACGTCACCTTTAAGACCCCGCCCACTTTCAGGTGAAAATAATGCATCGGAGCGAAGCTGGAATATAAAAAACTAATATAAATCTATAAAATCTAAATCTAAATGTAATAAAAATCTAAAAACTAGTATTCAATGTTCATTCAGCTTTATCTATTATCCCTCCTAGAGTGATGATCAAGTGAAGGAGGCAAGGAAGTGATGAAGGAGAGGAAGAGTTACATAGAGTCCTTATTGTTCAGTTTGTGTATCAGAGAGGAGCCGTAATGTCTCTGAGTTTAGACCAATGGCTGAAGAGTCTGTGGGTCATGTGACGCTGCAGCTGGTGTGTGTGTGTGTGTGTGTGTGTGTTGTGTGTGTGTGTGTGTGTGTGTGTGTGTGTGTGTGTGTGTGTGTGTGTGTGTGTGTGTGTGTGTGTGTGTGTGTGTTGTGTGTGTGTGTGTGTGTGTGTTGGTGTGTGTGTGTGTGTGTTGTGTGTGTGTGTGTGTGTGTGTGTGTGTGTGTGCGCAGGGTCGGACAGCAGCAGACTTCGATGAGCCTCTGAGGATAGAGGAAGACTCACACTGGCCCACCGAACAAATGTGAGTATTTGTAATATTTATTTTAGTATTTGTTTCTACATTCAATATAACTGATATAATTAATATTTATTTATATATTTATTATTTATTCAACACTGTTACTATTAATTACACACACACACACACACACACACACACACACACACACACACACACACACACACACACACACACACACACACACACACAGTGAAATTAATTTAAAAAAGAGAGAAAAACTTTCAAAAGGTAATAAAAAAATGTATAAAACTACAAAATAAAAGCAAATATTGAAAATAGTTATTATCCCTGATCACCAAATATTACACTAAATGAGTGTAAACAGAAACAAAGGTAGAAAAACATGTTCAATTGTTCTTAATTGGTATAAATTGTGTTTTTGTCATTGATTGTTGTGGCTCGTCGTTGAGTCAAATGCAGTCAAAGAAACGTGCCTGACTTATAAATGATAGCACTTATTTTCTCTGTGATTGCAGTATATTGACCTTAGATAGTATATATATTATATAATGTATATGTATATTATATAATGTATATATATATTATATAATGTATATATATATTGTGTTTGCAGGTCAAAGCATGAGATGATCCACCAGCTGAAGGAAGCCGTGGAGCTGCTGCAGGACCCCAGCAGGTGAGAAACAATAACACATTTCTTTCTATTGTACTTTTACTACTATGAGGTATGTTTAAATCCTTTGGTTTGTAAGTAAAGGAGCTATTAAAGGTTTTTCAAGCCTACATCCTTTTATATCAACTATTTAAAGTCATTAAAAGCCTTAACATTTGTCAGAAAACTACAAAATGAGGTGATAAAACTAAAAAAAGACTCATCACGAGGCGCTGTGCTGAGTCATGTTTCAGAGGACACTGGGGTTTAATGAGATCCAAATGTCTGTTGTTGTTGTTGTTGTTGTTGTTGTTGTTGGGTTGTCACAGTTTGGTTTTCTTTCAGTGTGAAATAAATCAGGAGCATTCTTTGAGAATTACACTAAAGTCCTCTGTTCCTCAGTGCTAAGAAACACTTGTTGATATTCAAAAGAAATAAAACCCAATTCCCTAAAAATGTAAAATAGAAGTTATGTTCAAAGTTGAGCAATGTTCAACTTTTGAAGCTGAGGTGGAAGCGTCAGCCAATCAAATCACGTGTATGCAAATCTGACAGTTCAAGCGCTAGCCAATCAAACGGCGTGTATGCTGGGAGAGACATACCGCAGGTCATTTCCTCATATTCCAAAACATGGAGGAGAAGTTAGCGGTAGGGAATCACCCGGTGCTTTATGACCAGTCCCTATTTACCTACCGGGATACAAACCGGAGGAGCCAGGCATGGAGGGAGGTGGCAGAGACAGTGGTATGTTTTCGCCTGTTTGGGGAGTTTATATCCAGTTTACTTCAAACTGTTTTGCTTCGTATGTCGGGGGCGGGAGATTCATGTGATTGGTTGTTGGTCGCGTTGCTTGCAAAAAATCCCCAAGCTTCAGATACGCCCACCTCCAAGATTTTTTTAACGCTGCTGTGTGGACGCTCCGTTACAGCTAAGGGGGTTGTCGACCCTCCGCGACCCCCTTAGCTGTAACGGACAACCCCCTTAGCTGTAACGGACAACCCCCTTAGCTGTAACGGACAACCCCCTTAGCTGTGATATACTGAGCATATACCACGGCCTGTCGTGAGCTATTGCCTAAATGTATTATATGACATTATTGCCTCTGAATTTGATTATTATCGGATAGGGTAATAACTTAGTAATTAACTACGTCTGAAAGCAGAAGTCCAGGGCAAATAATTGCAAGTCTCTTCAGTGTGCATGTCACAAAACAAGATGCATTGTGGGACATGTAGTTTATGGGCAACCTGCTTCTGTAAAGCAGCATGTAACCGTATAATAAACTTATTATATTCTTTGCAAGCTCTTGTTGGGCCACATGACATGAAGTCGAGGGCCGGTTTGGCCCCCGGGCCTTGAGTTTGAGACCCCTGATCTAAGGGTAAAGCTTTTATAGTGAAAATATCGAATGAGTACATGTTTACTCTTCACGGCACCTGCCTTACTGTTTACATACTCTGAAAAATGTAATATTTGTTGTTAATCAGAGCGGAGCAGGACGATGTGTCTGGAGTTCAGCTCTACCCCGTGGAGATGGTCAATGTGGAGGAGTCTCTCAAGTAACACTTCATGGGAAACACTCACTACTGTGTTTAAAGTGAATATTATCACAATATTATGTGTGTGAAATAAAGCCTATTCTTTGTATTAAATGTTGTATTTCTCTCCGCAGTGGGCAGGACAGCGATGACGGCGGCGGCGGCACACCGAAGGTAAAGAGTTCACAATACTTTAATATTAGAAACAGCATGCGGTCATCAGCGTGATCTCACACCACTGAGATACACCTCCACTCATACTGGCTCTGTTACTCCTGAAGTTAAGGCATATAGTTTGTGACTAACAAAGCTTCTGTTTAAGGTCATTTAAAGTGGACCTATCATGCTATATTTGAATAATATAGTGTAGGACTAGGGATGGGTACCGAGCCCCGGTATTAAACGGGCCCCGGGGCTGAATTATTAAAGACCGTGGTACCGTTAAGCTCCGACGTTATCGGTCTTTTTATCGGTACTGGAGACATCTAAAAAATATGTCATGTGTATTATTGCTACACAAACATTATATTGCAGTTTTAGTGTCGCCAACTCCGTTTCTAATACGCAAAAAGACTGCAAAATGCGTCATTTTTTGTATTTTCGATCTTTCCAATCCTGACGAGAGATCTCTCTCCCCCGCCTGTGTGCGAGGGGGCGGAGCAGGTTACACACGCAGCTGCTACATGCAGCAACACACACACACGGAGGAGATGGCGGAGAGAACGCGCTCCGAGGTGTGGTTAAACTTTACCCGTCTCGCTCGTTGCCTAAAGTGCAATAAGAGTTTAGCATGTCAGGGCGGGAACACGAGCAATCTGTCTAAACATCTTGCAAAAGTGCACCACGTTCAGACGGAGAAATGCACCGGGTTCGACTGTCTCTAGTAGCTCTGTAGCCCCATCCACGAGTAACGTTTCCACGTCAGGTATATTATGTATGCTAGCAGCAACACACGGAGTTAACTCAATGATTCAAACATGGGTTAATGATTAGAGGGAACTGAGTTATTTAGTTTGTTAAAGTTTCAGCTATTCTGTTCACAGTTCTGTCATCAGATTATTTAATACGATTTGTTAAAACGTTGTTGTTTCTGTTGATTTGAAATATTATGTATTTCATTTAAATAAAAAGCAATGTTAGTTTTGTTCACAATTTGTTAATTTTCATTTAATTGTTTATTTGAATAGGGACAATGCACATTAATGAACACTTTAGACAAATAATGCTTCAAGTGTAAATATGCCGGATTGTAGCTTTGAGCTAATTTCCATCCGTAGTCCCTGACATACAACATATAGTTAGTTTACCTCATTTTTCTCTCCAAAAGAACCGATAAGAGTACCGTTAAAAGACCGGACCGATAAGTGGTATCGATAAAAGTAGTAATACTGTTAAAACCTTAACAATACCCATCCCTATGTAGGACCATACCTATATTAGGCATATTTATACTTTTTTCTTTTCAAAATACCAAACAGATCATGCATTTTAGCCATGCCTCATTTCGCTCAATTTGACCATTTCTAGATCTGTTTTAGCAAGGGCAGATTCAGTGAGAACAGCACCACCTACTGGCCTGGCATATGTACTACAGCGTCTCCAGCGCTTTCGAACAGCAATGGCCGTGGCTGTCTCCTCCTGATTGGTGGAGTTGGCCCAATAGCCGTAGCACCACCGTCCTGGCGTCAGGACAGTGTTCAAATCTGGATCAGTTTTTATCAGATCCGTTGCAGCCCCTTTTTTAGAGATTTGGGTATGGAGGAAAATAGAGAGGGTTGTGTTTTCTGACACTTGGTGAGTTCCCTGGAACACCGGGGACACATATTCATGTATAAAAGACGTACAAAAGTGCATTTTGCATGATAGGTCCCCTTTAAAGCTATACGTTCGTAAGTAATATGGCAGCAAATTAAGGTCATTTAACGCCTAATTGTTGAAGACTCAAAGCAACTATATGAGGATATTTAAAGCCTAAACGTTAGTAAGTTATATAATTATTTAAGGACAATTAAAGCCTATAATTAACCTTAAACAAAGCAGCTGTTAAAGGTCAATTGAAGCTTTAAGGTATGTCATATAAACCCATAAACCATCATTTAAAAACAGCAACCTTATTAGATTTTTAAGTAAGTATATAAGTAAAAAAATAACTATATAATGTTATTTAAATCCTATGAGTTTGTAAGTAACGGTACTATTTAAGTTCACTAAAACCCTATAGGTTAGTTCGTTATATAGCAATTATATAAAGTTATTTGAGGCTTATATTTGGGAAGTAACACAGCTATTTAAGGTTATTTAAAGTCTATACGTTCATAAGAAACACTAGGATAAATGGTGATTCAGAGCCTTTAAGTTAGTAAGTATATGGCTACTATGTGTACTATTACTACTATAAGGTATTTACAGTTTAAATCCTATACGTTTGTAAGTTAAGGAACTATTTAAGGTCTTTTAAAGCCTAAAAATGTGTAAGTTGACTTCCAAATAAGGTGATTTAAAAAGCCTATTTGTGAGAAACAGAGCAAATATTGTGGCTAATTTAAAGCCAATAAGATTTTAAGTAAGATAACAACTCTATAAACTAATTTAAGGGCCTTTTGTTATAAGTTTGTTATTTGTTATAAGTACAATTTAAGAACATTAAAGTAACAAAGCAGCTATTTAAGAAAACGTAAAGCCTATACGTTTGTAATTAACTAATTAATTATCCTATAAGTACGTAAGTAACAAAGTATATGGTCATTGAAAGCCTTAACATGTGTAGGTAAACTACATTTTAAGGTAATTTGAAGCATATATAATTATTTAAAGCCCATACATTTGAAATATAGCAGCTTATAAGTTGATTTAAAGAGTAACTACGTAAATCACCTATAAGGTTATTTAAACCCTATTAGATTCTAAGTAACAAAGCAGCTATTTAAGAAAATGTAAGCCTATAATGAACTCATTAATTAACCTATTAGAACGTAAATTACAAAGCAAATGTATAAGGTCATTGAAAGACTCAACATTTGAAGGTAGTTTGAAGCATATACATTTGAAATATAGCAGCTATATAAGGTCATTTAAACCCGATACGTTTGTAATTAACTAATTCATTAACCTATAAGTACGTAAGTAACAAAGCAAATGGTAATTGAAGCCTAAACAGGTGGAGGTAAGCTCTATAAGGTGATTTAAAGACTATAAGATTCCTAGAGAGCAGCTCTATAAGGTGATTAAAAGACTATAAGATTCCTAGAGAGCAGCTCTGTAAGGTGATTAAAAGACTATAAGATTCCTAGAGAGCAGCTTTGTAAGGTGATTAAAAGACTATAAGATTCCTAGAGAGCAGCTTTGTAAGGTGATTTAAAGACTAAGATTCCTAGAGAGCAGCTCTGTAAGGTGATTTAAAGACTAAGATTCCTAGAGAGCAGCTTTGTAAGGTGATTTAAAGACTAAGATTCCTAGAGAGCAGCTTTGTAAGGTGATTAATGGCGCATTTCCACCATGGCGCGGAGCGCGGTTTAAGCGTGCCGTGTCGTGCCGTGCCCGTTTTTGGTTGCGCTTCCACTATGCCTAGTTACGGCCCGGGGCCACTTTTTCACCTCTTTTCTGGCCTGACAAAATTGTGGTTCTATCGGGGCCAACAACGAGGCTGAGTCGGGCTGAGTATGCTAAACTAGAGAGAGAATCGCTGGCAAGGGGGCTACAACTACAACAAGATGGACATATTTGACCGTGATTTAATTATAATACACGTTTCAAAATGATGCTGAAGTAACAACATACTGATACCGGTTAGTAAAAACCATGAATTAATGCTTTGTCAAGTCTGCAGACAGACGGCAGGCGAAACACCTTTTAAAATGCGTGTTTTCTAAATGGAGATCGGCTAAGCTAACGCAGTATATGCTCCGACCGTCCACACTCACAACAACGGCCTACACAGACGTAAATAAAGCAGTGACTGTATTCACCATGACACAGGCAGTCTGTGGTTTGTACTTGTTTAACTTTTGTCTAGTTTCTGAACAGATATGAGGAGCTGTGAGCTCTGAGTGCTAACTGCTAACGGCTGTGTTGTTTTTCTGGGGTTCTCATTGAAGATGACGTCACGGCTCCGCCTACACTGCGTTACTATAGTTACTGCCCCAGTTCCTAAACTGTAATGGAAATGCGCCATAAAGTGAGCCAGGCCTAACGAGGCCTAGCCATACCGAGCGAGGCCGAGCGAGGCCGTGTAGTGGAAACGCGCCATAAGATTCCTAGAGAGCAGCTCTGTAAGGTGATTTAAAGACTATAAGATTCCTAGAGAGCAGCTCTGTAAGGTGACTGCGTGTGTGTCAGTGTTCGGACGACGGTGTGTGTGAGTTCCAGAGAAAGAGGAAGATGATTTTGCAGAAGGCCAGAGCTCACACTCAGCTCGCATGTCGGGAGTTTGAGTTGCACATGTCCGTCAAGGTAAACACAGCTGGAGTTAGGATTTAACTGCAGTAAACTTAGTGTGTGTGTGTGTGTGTGTGTGTGTGTGTCAGTAAGCTGTCCGCATCGTTATTAACGGCAACACGTCATCCAGTTGCAGGATGCACATGTGGAGAGGCTGAGGAAGTGTGTATTCATGGCTACTCGTGCATCAAAAGCTCTTTAGAAACACCTTTTTATTTGTGTTTAAAGATTCCTGTGTAGTTTTGTAATTGTTCGATACCTGAGGACCTCTGCAAACCTCACTGGAGCTGGTACGTTTACTGAGCTACCTTTTTTTCTGTAAAAAGGACCATATTTTCCTCTTAATTGTTGAGGTCCAGACGCATAAAGTAGCATAAAATTGGAAGTACAAGAACCTCAAAACTCTACAGTACTTCAGTAAATATACTTTCCAGCGCTGTTAACTGTACGTTTGTTAGTCTGTGTGTCTCTGCAAACGTCTCTCTGTGAAGCGCAGGATATCTGTTAAACAAATCATGAATGTTTGTTACTGAGGGTATCTGACCGTGTTTCCTTCTCTGTTTCTGCAGCATCACGACAGATATCCGGGCTGCGGTCCTCCATCTTTCTCCAGCCCTGTGTTCGGACTAAAGCCCCGCTCAGGTGAGTCCATCTGGGCTGAGACAGGGGGGGTCAGACACCTGGACTATACCATCTGGGATGAGAGAGGGGGGTCAGACACCTGGGCTAAACCATCTGGGATGAGACAGGGGGGGTCAGACACCTGGGCTAAACCATCTGGGATGAGACAGGGGGGGTCAGACACCTGGGCTAAACCATCTGGGATGAGACAGGGGGGGTCAGACACCTGGGCTAAACCATCTGGGATGAGACAGGGGGGGGTCAGACACCTGGACTAAACCTTCTGGGCTGAGAGAGGGGGGTCAGACACCTGGGCTAAACCATCTGGGATGAGACAGGGGGGGTCAGACACCTGGACTAAACCATCTGGGATGAGACAGGGGGGGTCAGACACCTGGACTAAACCATCTGGGATGAGACAGGGGGGGTCAGACACCTGGGCTAAACCATCTGGGATGAGACAGGGGGGGTCAGACACCTGGACTAAACCTTCTGGGCTGAGAGAGGGGGGTCAGACACCTGGGCTAAACCATCTGGGATGAGACAGGGGGGGTCAGACACCTGGACTAAACCATCTGGGATGAGACAGGGGGGGTCAGACACCTGGACTAAACCATCTGGGATGAGACAGGGGGGGTCAGACACCTGGACTAAACCCTCTGGGCTGAGAGACGGGGGGTCAGACACCTGGACTAAACCTTCTGGGCTGAGAGAGGGGGGGTCAGACACCTGGGCTAAACCATCTGGGCTGAAGGGGGGGGTCAGACACCTGGACTAAACCATCTGTGGAAACAGGGTTAATGCTGACGAGGAGCTCCTTAAATGTTGGGTTGTGTTTGTTATAAGAAAAGTATATATATCGTTTTTTGGGGGATTGTCCTACGATAAGATTCAAATTTGGGAAATGTTTGCGTCGCAGCAGCATAAAAAGACAAGGCATTGCACATTGTACAACAATCCACAATGTAAACATCTCAAATAGAAATAAAATAGCATTACAAAAGTAGAAAATATACAGTCATGCAGTGCCTTTTACATAATGGTTTTAATCTTAATACAGGCTGCAGGATCTCATATATTACCGTTAAAGTGTTATACATGATGGCATAGTAAGAAGATCAGAAACCAAAGAAAAATAACAACACATTATAATTAAAACAACACAATACGTCCCTATAAACCATGTTAGTTTATTCAGTCACACATTTCTTCGTTTTAAGGTAAAGTTAAGCCAAGTTTTCAGCGGCTATAATGCACAAAAACACTCAGAATAAACCATATTTGTAGTCTTTTATCTTGACCTATATTGAATCATAATGTAGTGGAGTAAAATGTCAAACAATACTTTGGAAATGTTGTTGAGAAAAAGCTAAAAATCCCAAATACTCAAGTAGCGTACCGCAGAATTGCTAACGCAGAGCTACTGCTAGCATGGAGGCTTTGCTAACGCTATATAAAGCTAGCAGTCAACGCAGCTTCATGTTCAGTGTTTCCTCCGCTGTGTGTGTAGAGCTTCAGTCCCATGCTTTTTTATTATTTAATTTGTTTTAATAGAGCTAGCTAGCAGCCTTTTTGTTTGACTAACTGTGACCGAAATGTTGCTAACTGCTAACGATGCTACCCTGATGCTAACAGCATGTGGAGGTGATGTGTAACGTGATCTGCCACTAATCTTTATTTTGTTTTTGTGCCGTTTTGTGTTCTCATCTCCCCTCTTTTCCACACTCTCCTTTGATATACCTTCTCATCCCTCCTCTGTCTGATCTGCTGCATGTTGTGATTGTATTTTGAAAATCCCGTGATCTTCTTGCATGTGTATCAACCTTGTTTTGAATTCCTTTAAAAAAAATCTCTGGTGTGTTTTCGGTGTGTGTTTTCTCGTGGAATGACTATGGCCTTGCTGTATTTAAACCACCATTGGTCCCCTCACACACACAAACTTCACGCCCCACTTCCTGCACCTGAACACACACACACTTCCTGTTTTAGCCCCGCCCTCGCTGCCCTGCTCGCCTCCTACTTCCTGTCTCGCCCCCCCCCTTCCTCTCGCAGGCCTCCCCCCTCCGTAGAGATTCAGCGGGTCACGATGGAGGCGTTCAGCGCGGTAGGTTCTTTAAAAACTCTGCAGACCATCAAAGTTTTTCAGAATCTTCTTCAAAAACCTCTTCATCAAAGTCACCTTTAGGGGTCCCACAAAGAGGGGACACATTTACATTGAAGTATAGAAAAGAGACGAGAAAAATAGAACAGTATTATAGAAAAAGCATGCACTTAGTATTTTAAATACACATTCAGGTAGATAAGTGAGTAGCAGTGGTATTTATAAAATAAATGATATGTGGTCTATAACGGCCCGTCCACACAGCGGCGTGCGTTGAAAGCTTCACCATTCACTTGAATGGGGTGACGTCACTTTTTCGAAATTAATCATAGCGGTAGGGAATCACCCGGTCTTGTACGATCAGTCCCTGTTCACCTACCGGGATACAAACCGGAGGAGCCAGGCATGGAGGGAGGTGGCAGAGACAGTGGGTGAAACTGGTAGGTTTTCGCCTGTTTGGGGAGTTTATCTCCAGTTTACTTCATAAACTGTATGTCGGGGGCGGGAGATTCATGTGATTGGTTGTTGGTCGCGTTGCTTGCGAGAACTCCCCAAGCTTCAGACACGCCCACCGCCAAGCTTAAACGCACGCCGCTGTGTGGACAGGCCGTAACAGTAGTACAATTATTAAAGGGGACCTATCATGCAAAATGCACTTGTTGATGTCTTTTCTACATCAATATGTGTCCCCGGTGTGTCAGGGAACTCACGCAGCGTCAGAAAATAAAACCCTCTCTCTTTTCCTCCGTACACAAATCTCTAAAAACGGGGGAACAACGGAGCTGATCCAGATTTGCGTCCGATATGACGTAATATCTGAAATGTGGACCCACGGCCCTATCAGAAAGTTGCTATCAGAAACAATGCCCGACTGTTTTGGACGTAATATGGTCGGTGTTTACATTAGCATCGCTAACACTCAGAGCTAACCTGTACTGGAGAGCATGTGTGTGAAGAAGCAGGAAATAAAAAGGAACTCACCTTGTGGTATAACCGGCAAGAGAGAAAGCCTTTGAGCTCCATACTGTTTCAGAGAGAATCCTTGATAATCCATGATATGGCGTTTCATCACGGCAGTATTTAGTTTAGACAGTAGCTGCCGGGTCCCGCATAAGCTCCGCCCCCTTCTTTTTCATTGTAAAGCTTTATACCCCAAAACCATCACTTTAGAAACAGGAAGTGAAATAGAGGGATATGAGGCATGGCTAGAATGGGTGATCTGTTTGGTATTTTGAGCAAAACACTTCATAGACATGTTTTTTATATTTTTGTATATATCTGAGACCTATGCTATTGCCTAAAAATAGCATGATAGGTGACCTTTAAATAACATAATCAAGTCTTATAATATTAAATATGATGTTCAGTGTTTAGTTGAACCCGCTTGTGTCCCCTCAGGCTGCGAAATAACTAAAATGGAAACGGCTGAAACACCAACTCGAGCTTCAGTGTAGATATGTCAATGGCAATCTGAAGTCCCAGGCTCCTCCAACAGAGCAACATGAATATATATAGGACACACAACAGATGAAATAGTGCAAGAGAATGTTTGGAGAAGTAAATACAAATCAAAATTGAAATAGTGCAAGAGGAGTCTAGTAAATGGAATATGATGTATAGAGTTTAATAAGAAAAGATTAGTACCATGGTTGTAAAGCAAGTGATCGCTTAGCTTAGCTTAGCTTTGCTTGGTTCTTACAGATAAAATAAGATAAAACACACAATATCAAACATGTAAGGGCTTGAGTTAAGAAGAGCACACAATAAATTATTACATTTAGACAGTAAAGATAACTGGTTGTTTATTAACACTGGCGCAGACTGACAACACGACAAGTTGGGTTATTTTTAGTCGACTGCTGCACATGTTGGGGTTTTAGTAGTGTGTGTGTGTGTGTGTATGTGTGTGTGTGTGTGTGTGTGTGTGTGTGTGTGTGTGTGTGTGTGTATGTCTGTGTGTTTGTGTGTGGTAGCAGCAGATAGTGATGAAAGAGGAACTTCACCACACACTGCTTTGATTTCCAGCTGTTCACGTTTGTGTGTGTGTGTGTGTGTGTGTGTGTGTGTGTGTGTGTGTGTGTGTGTGTGTGTGTGTGTGTGTGTGTGTGTGTGTGTGTGTGTGTGTGTGTGTGTGTGTGTGTGTGTGTGTGTGTGTGTGTGTGTGTGTGTGTGTGTGTGTGTGTGTGTGTGTGTGTGTGTGTGTGTGTGTGTGTGTGTGTGTGTGTGTGTGTGTGTGTGTGTGTGTGTGTGTGTGTGTGTGTGACCACACTGCTGTAGTAATTAACACACACACTCTGGATTTGGTGACTTTGAAGCTCACCAAAGTGTGTGAGCACAGAGTGTGTGTGAAGAAGTAAATACAGGGTGTGTGAAGAGGAGCTGTCTGGAGTGACTTCTAGACTGTTTGTGGTTTTAAAATGTTTTTAATTTAAGTGTGCACCACAACACCAAGTCAAATCCCTCGTACGTGTCAACCTGTGATAAACCTGATTCTGATGTGTGTCTAAGGAAGGTTTTAAAGGCAACACACACACCAGCAGCATCCTGGTGTGTGTGTTGTTTTCTGTGTTTCTACAAACCATCTGAAAGTCAGAGGCCATATTAGGATTAGATTTGTGCGTCTGCAATATGAATGAGTCTGGTTTTTGTCTCGTGTGTGTGTGTGTGTGTGTGTGTGTTCTATGTGTGTGTGTTCTATGTGTGTGTGTTTGTGTGAGTGTATTTTTAGCTGCTATATTTTAAGTGTTAGATAATGGTCCCTAAAGGAGTATCCTACTTACAGAGGAGCGTTGTCCAAGATTTTAGATAGAACACAGCTGTGTGTGTGTGTGTGTGTGTGTGTGTGTGTGTGTGTGTGTGTGTGTGTGTGTGTGTGTGTGTGTGTGTGTGTGTGTGTGTGTGTGTGTGTGTGTGTGTGTGTGTGTGTGTGTGTGTGTGTGTGTGTGTGTGTGTGTGTGCTTCAGTCATTTGCTCCATAAAAGGCAGTGATATGTAGCAGGAAGTTAGCACGGACTGCGAGCTGTTAAGTGTTCACACACTCACTCACACACTCACTCACTCACACACTCACTCACACACTCACTCACACACTCACTCACACACTCACACACTCACTCACACACTCACTCACACACTCACACACACACTCACTCACACACTCACACACTCACTCACACACACACTCACTCCACACGCACGACACACACGCACGCACACACTCCACACGCACTGCACACACGCACGCACACACTCACTCACACACGCACTCACACACTCACACACTCACTCACACACACACTCACACACTCACACACACTCACACACTCACACACTCACACACTCACACACTCACTCACACACTCACACACACTCACACACTCACACACTCACACACACACTCACACACTCACACACTCACACACTCACACACTCACACACTCATCACACTCACACACACACTCACTCACACACTCACTCACACACACTCACACACTCACACACACACTCACACACTCACACACACACACACACTCACACACTCACACATAGTGAACTTCTGAATGTTGTCAAATGTTTTACAGACCATCAGAGACTCGTTCACTTTCAAACCACAGCGTGGGAAATCTGGGAATAATTGTCATGTCAGCTCAAATCTCTGATGGCAAACATGTATGCTAATGTGTTAGCATGGAGTTTAGTGTATGCTAATGACTTGTTATTGAGGCCCTTTAATATTCATGGCACATATGATGCGTTTACGGTACAGTTGCTACCTTAAATGAGTGCATAGACCTATTCAAATTCGACATATGGAACTTAAACAAAAGTTAAAAGCCATTGAAAGGGTTTAAAAGTGCTGTAATGTGTACAAAGTGCAGAATAAAACAAACGGTCTAAGATGAGATATGAGGGTAATACAGTTGTATCTTGATCAGTCATCCCTCTGAAATGTGTGTGTGTGTTTTTTACACGAGTAGCAGGGTGTGTTTTTACATGATTAGCAGTGTGTGTGTATGTTTTTACATGAGTAGCGGTGTGTGTGTGTGTGTTTTTTCACATGAGTAGCTGTGTGTGTGTGTGTGTGTGTTTTTTCACATGAGTAGCTGTGTGTGTGTGTGTGTGTGTTTTTTCACATGAGTAGCTGTGTGTGTGTGTGTGTTTTTTCACATGAGTAGCTGTGTGTGGTTGTGAGAAAGATAATATTATGACTAATGTGTGTAATGGCTTCAGGCCTCAGGGAGGTGACATCAGTAGGAAGTGACCTCATTAACATCCAATCAGCAGCCTGTAAGTGTGTTTGTGTGAGGCTATATATATGTGTGTGTGTGTGTGGGTGGGTGTGTGTGTGTGTGTGTGTCAATATGTGTGTGTGTGGCAATATGTACGTTTGTGTGTGTGTGTGTGTGTGTGTGTGTGTATATAATAGTACCTCCATCTGTGTTTATATTGGTTCCCTTTAAGCCTCCCTTTCCCTGTATCTTTGTTTATGGTTTTGCCGCTGGCTCTAATCTCCGGGGGAAATTAATTATGAATTTTGACGCAGGGAGAGTTTAGTGTTTGAGTTGCACATTTACTTATAAACATAATAAAATAACAACACGGAGGAGCTGCAGCACCTCTTTTCGCCCTCTGTCTGAAACCAGAGCTGCTCTGATTGGTTAGCTGGCCGGCTCTGTTGTGATTGGTCAACCGCTTAGAGATGTCCCGCCCCTTAGGCCTATCACCTACAATGTGTTGGAGCGCGAGAAACTTTAGGATGTTAGCCTCTTCAGACCATTTACATGCACAGAAACCTATATAACACTACAGGAGAGGGCCTCTTTAAACACTAATCGCAAAAATAATACAGTATTTAAATAAGAGATTGCTATTTGGCACACAATGTCCTTTATTGACCCCAAAGTAAGAGTGTATTTAGTGACAGTAGCAGCAGGATATTGATATTTTCTTGTGTTTTACTCCTGACTGACTGATCTGCTGAAAGGAGCAGCTTTCTACTTCAGCGAGCTAAGAATAATTCATGAGAAAGACGTAAAAAAACATCTTGCACAGTTTAAAAATATCCTTCAAAAACCTTTAAATAGCCCGTCGGAGGAGGAGGCTCAGAAACAGGAATCTGAGGAGGAGGAGGCGTTTTAAAATGTCCTGACCTATAAAGATTAATCTTAAAGATAGAATGATTTCCCCTCCCTTGTCTCCCCCTCTATTGGCCTCCCACAGAGGGAATATCAAACACACACACTCCTTAATATTCAGAGGAGGTTCACACACTCATCCAGACCAGTCACATGACCTACTGGCAGTCAGAAGGAGAAAAACAAACAAATAATAAATAATAGAAAAACGAACCAATCAGCTGAGCACAATCCCATAAAGACTGAAAAATATTTAAAAAACAATAAGCAAGATATAAATAAAAAGGTATTTCAATATTCTTAATTAAATGTGATAAAAAAATCACAAAAGTCTAAATTCTGAAAAAAATCTGAAAATCACAATGAGTTTTTTTGTGTTGCTAAATAGCTCCCCCTTGTGGCCATTTCGAGGAAATGCACTCAACTGCTTTATTCGGCTACAACAGGAACGTGTATTTTGTATTTTTGACAGATATAATAACTGGTTTTAATGTGCAGTGAGAACGTCTCCAGCTCCAACCAGCTGACGACAATCCATTAAAAGCTGAAACATATTTTAAAAGCAAAATATAAATCAAAACATATTGAAATCATTGTAATTAAATGTCATAAAACAAAATCTAAATTCTACCAAAAGAGAAATCGGAAATGTTGAAAGCAGCAGGTTTTTATGATTAATTTATGATTATTTTTGGCAGATATAATAACTGGTTTGGATGTGCAGTGAGTCAGCTCTTCCAGTTCAACGAATCCTTCACATGAGCGCTGAGCGTGCACGGAGCTGAAAGAGTGCACGTGAATCTTTCGCTTGCTTGAGCTTTTCCATCTTTCATGCAGAGAGGCTATTTCTGAGTCCCTGAGTTTGGACTCACAGGAAGTCACGGCTTGATGTCATTTCAGATTTAATAATAGATAGATAGATTTAATACAACGTCAACATTATAACCTATATGAAGGAGTATGTCCTGCAGGATTCAATTGTATTGTATGTATTGTATCTGGGTGTTTTGTAGAGAAAGAAATGCCTGTAATTCCAGCATCTACTAGATTTTCATTCAATTAAAAGTAGCTTTGAAAAAAAAAGTCAGAGAATGAGTTTTTCTCCTCAGAAGCGTGACAGCCTGACATGTTTTATATGTTTTATAGAAGAAGGATCCTGGCTGTGTTAATGTGTCCTAATGCTGCCATTTCTCGTCTTCCTCCTCCTCTTCCTCAGTGTTCCTTCGGAGCCACAAGAGTCTTGAATCAGTCGACCCTCAGTTCACGATGAGGAGGAAGATGGAGCAGCTGAGAGAGGAGCTGGAGCTCACAGACCATCTGAGAGACGTGAGGCACTTTAATCATTCATGGAGAGTGGGGGGGTTACAAGTAAAAAAAAAAGAGGCAGTTTTTACCAAAAGGTTTATGAATAAAAAGGTGAAATCTGAACAAAAATCTAAATTCTGAGAAAAAGTAAAAACATCTGAACAAATTCAATATTTTAAGAAATGAAAGGCAGAAATAAAATATAAATGTTTTGTGGAAAAAATCAGATTTTTTTTAATAAACGTGATGATTCTTAAGCAACTTCATGTGTGTGAGAAAAATCTGTAATCTGAAAAAAGTTTGCAGAAAAAACTGATTTCTGAAAAAGTACATTTGAAAAATAAAATTATAATCTGAAATCTTTTTAAAAGTAAATTTGAAGAATGATTAGTGTGTATGTTTCTGTCTCTGTCCTGGAGGTCTGAAATAAACAGACTGAAATAAACAGAGTGCCACTGTTAGGGACTGGTGCTGGAGGTCTCTAGGCCGTCCTTTGGGGGTCTGTAGGCCGGCAAAGAGAGGGGATTTTGCCGGACTCTCTCCTGGAGGTGTGAAATAAACTAAGTCCCCATTTCAGGGACACCTCTTATCATATATATGATATAAAAAAAAAGTTCAATTCGGAAAAATTATTTGACTTTAAGAAAAATCTGAAATGTTAAAAAAGTAAATTCTGAGGAAAAAGTCAAAGTTTAGTGGAAAAAAAACAGAATCTAAATCTTTAAAAAAATCAGATGAATCAGATTTTTTAAAACCTAATGTCTGTATTTCCTCTTTAGAGCATAGAGAGCCGTCTGAAGGTGGATCTCCCTGAAGATCTGGGCTCCTCTCTGATGGACGGAGTGGTGCTCTGTCATCTGGCCAATCAGATCCGCCCGCGCTCTGTGGGCAGCATCCACGTGCCCTCCCCTGCTGTGGTGAGAGATCAATACTTTATATATAATATATATCATACATAATATTAAAAAAAAAAGATATATCAGATTTTTTATTAAAAAAGTATAATATAAAATGTAATATTTGTATTTCCTCCTCGTCTGCAGAATTTCAGAATCTAAAGAAAAATCAGAAATCTAATAAAAGTACATTTGAAGAAAATGTACTTTATATTACTCCATCTTTAATATAATATATATCCCCCGTCGTAGTGACAGACACATCATATCAATGCATCTTTAATATAATATACAGTGGAGGAAATAAGTATTTGAGCCCTTGCAGATTGTGTTAGTTTGCCCACTTACAAAGAAATGAACAGTCTATCATTGTAATGGTAGTTTTATTTAACAGTGAGAGAAAGAATATCCAAAAGAAAATCCAGAAATTGACATTATATAAAAGTTCAAATTGATCAAAAGATCCGCACAGCTGATCGTCTGACAGCAGCCAGATCAGTGCATGCGCTGCATCGTCCAATCAGTGAGCGATACACAGTAAGGGGGCGGGGCGAGTGTCTGAGGATTCCACCGGAGGATGGTCTGGTGGTTCCTCGATTATCGCTCCTCGATCCTCCGGCAAAAATAAGGCCACTGGGACGCTACTCAAGATGCTCAAAAGTAGGCGAGTTAATAAACAAGAGAGGCGAAGTTACGATACCAATTTTAAGATAATGGTGATCAACGAAGCAGAGTCGTCGAGCAGCAAAGAAACATGGAGTTACTGAGAGTAACGTTAGAAGATGGAGAGCCCAAAAAGACCGTCTTAAAAATGTAAACAGTCAGAGAAAAGCATTCAGCGGGCCGCAACATTTGAACACAATGTGTGATGTGTGTTATCATTATTTTCAAATACAATTATTTTCTTTATTAAAACAAGATTTGCTCTTCAAAAAGGTATTTTTCCAAAAATGAAAACTCTTGAAAAAGAGTGGGTCGTGTATATTTAATATTTTAGATTTAAACATGTTGATCTGAACAGTGTTTCCTGGTCGTTGCAGCCCAAACTCAGCATGGCTAAGTGTCGGAGGAATGTGGAGAACTTCCTGGACGCCTGCAGGAAAATCGGGGTCCCACAGGTAAGAAATCTCTCAAATAACCCCCTCCCTCACTTCTATATATAATAATATATAATAACCCCCTCCCCTCCCTACTCTCTGAACTGGGGGGCGTCTTCAAGTCGACACAGAATGAGAAATGAGAGATGAATGTTCTTTTAAATCATGCCGGCTGGTGCTACAGTTGTAAATATCAGTGTTCAGATAGGAAACACATTTAGTTTCACATAGTTTACACTTTCTGGGGATATCACTATTTCTGACGTAGAAGTAGAAGTTGAGCTTGTGTTTAATGTTGTAAATCAAAACGAAACACATCAAAGAAGCCAGAAAAGTACCTGATAGGGTTTAGTTTTTTAGCGACTTTGGTTTTAAATATGTTCTGCTATGGATTTAATTAAATTGAGTCAACGTTGACTTTTGTCCGACCTCTCCACCTTTTCCTCACACAACAAATGTGTGATACGTGAAAAACAAACATTAATCGACAATGACATTTGACTTGTATGGGAACGTAATTATTAAAAGACACTAGCTGCTGCATAACTCACTGAATCCATAGCAACACTTCCCAAAGCATCATGGGAAATGTAGTCACTATTGTCTTGATTTAGTCTAAGCAACACAGAAACGATACCCTGAATGCTGCAGAGATTTGAATTGAAAACTCAAAGCAACTAAACCCAATGAGTTGCTAATTGTCCAGTTTGTTGACATATGGAAAGTTCTCCTGCTAAACCACCAGGTTATAAACTACATGCTGGGATTTGAACCAGCAACCTCTGACCTGAGAAACCCCCCAGTTCCTGAGAGAAACTTCCTCCATAATCCCACTCCATCATCATGTGTGGCTTCAGTTGGCTGATTGTTGAATAAGATTTAGAAGATGTGTGAAGAAGTGTCCTGCAAAAAAAAAGACTCTTCAGAGACAGGAAATGAAGAGTTTATATTCTGATCTCTGACGGTAAGTGAGGAGAAAGTATTTGCAGGACACTGACGACGACGGTACAATCTGAACCAGGTCTGGGGAGGAAGCTGAAGATTTAAGGATTTTTACAGCAGGTGTTTCAACCTTTACGTCATGTTATCTTCATCTGCAGACAGTTTAGCAGGTAGAAAATGAAATGTAAAAAATCTGAAGTTCAGAATGTAAAGAAAAAGTTGAAATCTTTAAAAAAATGTAATTTTTTTTAATTTTGAGTCAAAATTCAGAATCTAAAGAAAAATCTTGCTTTTTTTAAGATTTAAGAATTTTCTCTAGATTCTGATTTTTTTCCCTAAAAGATCAGATTTTTTGTATTTTCTATTCTTGAGAAAATATTCAGAATCCAAAGAAAAATCTGAAATCTTAAAAAAAGTAATATTTGCAGGACACTGAATATTGGAGACTAGCATGGACATTTAATCGTCTCCTACTTCCCAGATTGTGTTTCTATCTTTAAATATAAACTAGAGAAGCCCTCAGCGCCTCCCAGCTCTGGTTTGTTGTTGCTCCTTTTTTTTGTTCATGTCGCTTTAAATGGGTTTTTAACGCTGAGTCATCTTCATCATCTTCATCATCGCTGCCTGTGGCTTCAGCTTCCTCCATCATGACAGCAGGCAGGAGAATGAAGCAGAGTGTGTGTGTGTGGATGGTGTGTGTATAAATGTGTGTGTGTGGATGGTGTGTGTGTGTGTGTGTGTGTGTGTGTGTGTGTGTGTGTGTGTGTGTGTGTGTGTGTGTGTACAAACGTGTGTGTGTGTGTGTGTGTGTGTGTGTGTGTGTGTGTGTGTGTGTACAAACGTGTGTGTGTGTGTGTGTGTGTGTACAAACGTGTGTGTGTGTGTGTGTGTACAAACGTGTGTGTGTGTGTGTGTGTACAAACGTGTGTGTGTGTGTGTGTGCAAACGTGTGTGTGTGTGTGTGCAAACGTGTGTGTGTGTGCGTACAAACGTGTGTGTGTGTGTGTGTGTGTGTGTGTGTGTGTGTGTGTGTGTGTGTATATTGCTTATCTGGAACCAGCTGAATATTTGGTGCATGTAAACACAATATACTTTTCACTTAGTCCGGACCAAAAACGGATACAGAAAAAAGACAATTCGATGTTTTTACAGAGGATGATGTGCTTGACTATTTCTCGACTAAAGAACAGACTCTGACCAAGAAATAATCTGGTACATTTCCCAACATTAAACATTGATCTGTCGCATTGACACTGTTTTAGTACGGCTTAAATTGGTGCCTTTTAAGGGGATTCTCAGACATTAGCTGCTCAAAGTTTATGGCTTCATATTTACTTTACAGACGTGCACAATATCAACTTCAGGGATTAGGAGTCAATAGAGAAACCAAAATAACAACAACATAATTTTCCATCCACAAATTAAACGAAGGAAATGGAAAAAGGGAGGTCTGACACCACATCATTTAAAATATCATCAGTCAGGATCATTTGGTACTTTTAAATGTGATAATTGTAATTTATTTGTTTGTATTTTAATGTTTCAACGCCGTGTTTTTTGTCTTGAGATCGAACAAAAACAAAGTTTCCTCTTGGTCTTCTCTTTGAGATTACTCAACATTTGTTTACGTGTGTTTATCCCGCTGTGAGCCGCTGACCTCGTGTATTTATTCATACATCTTGCTGCTGCTTGCTGACCTCTGTGTGGATGCTTTGCTTCATGCGAGCTAACGTGCTAACAGCTTCTCCGCGGCTAACGTGCTAATGATTAGCTTCTGTGCTAACGTGCTGGCTCTCCATCATCCCGGTGTGTTTACTGAGAGAGAGAGAGAGATGTGATTTATCTTCCTCCTCTCAGTAATCATCCTCCTCCTCTTCCTCACTTCCTCCTCTGTGACCTTTGACCTCTGTTTTCATTGGTTAACCTCCGACCTTTTCTTTCTTTCTCCTGCTGGATCGTTCCTCTTCTTTGTCGATGACACGTCTTTGTTTTTCACTTTTTATATTTCTGTTTTTTTATTCTCTCTCTCCTCTCTCCTGTTTCCTGTTTCCTTCATCTTCATCTCCTCCTCCTCCTCCTCCTGGTGTTGTGTTTTTTCCATCCTTTTCTTCCACATACTATTCATCAATCTTTTTTCAATCTGTTTTCATCTTCCTCTCTCTTGCTTCTCTCCTCGTCTCAAATTAATTTGATTTTAATTTCCCATTTTTTCGTATTCCCTTTCTTCCTCCCTTACTCCCTTGTATCCTTCCCTCATCTCTTTATCCCTTTTCTTTCCTCTTCCTCCTTATCCCTTGTTTCCTCCTCCCTTGTTTCCTCTCCTTCACCTATTGTTTTCGGGGGTGCCAGTCCTCCCTCTGCTCGCCCTATGACATCATCCAGAGTCGCCTGCAGCCTCTCAGCGTCACGGTGCAGGCGCTGGTTTCCTTCGATACTTCCTCTCCAGACAGGAAACAGGAAGTGGTGGTCTCATCTAAGAGCCCCGCCCCCTCCTCCCCCTCATTGGTGTCCGTCACCACTCAGACCACGCCCCCTTCCTGGCAGATCTGGGACCTGATTGGCTCGAGTCTTCTTCACGTGCTCTGCCTCGTTCTGCTGTTCCTCGCCTACAGCTGGAGCGAGCTCACGTAACCGTGGAAACAGACACTTCCTGTCAGCCCTGCCCACTTCCTGTCAGTCATCTGAAAGTCCCGCCCACTTCTCATCAGTCATCTAAAAGTCCCGCCCACTAACTGTCAGTCATCTGAAAGTCCCGCCCACTGACTGTTAATCATCTGAAAGTCCCGCCCACTTCTCGTCAGTCTTCTGAAAGTCCCGCCCACTTCTCGTCAGTCAACTGAAAGTCCCTGCCCACTTCTCGTCAGTCTTCTGAAAGTCCCGCCCACTTCTCGTCAGTCATCTGAAAGTCCCGCCCTCAGTCATGTTAAAGTCCCGCCCACTTCTCGTCAGTCTTCTGAAAGTCCCGCCCACTTCTCGTCAGTCTTCTGAAAGTCCCGCCCACTTACTGTCAGTCAACTGAAAGTCAAGCCCTCATCATGTCAGTCATCTAAAAGTCCCGCCCACTAACTGTCAATCATCTGAACGTCCCGCCCACTTCTTATCAGTCATCTGAAAGTCCCGCCCACTAACTGTCAATCATCTGAAAGTCCCGCCCACTTACTGTCAATCATCTGAAAGTCCCGCCCACTTACTGTCAGTCATCTGAAAGTCCCGCCCACTTACTGTCAGTCATCTGAAAGTCCCGCCCACTTCGTATTTTTTATGCCGCTTTGTAATGACACCATCTTGTATCTTCTTCTTCTGCTCTGCTGCAGAATTAGCATTTTGATTTTACTGCTTAAAAAAGACACAGTGGATAGCAACACGTTTTCTTGAAATGTGTTAAATATTTGCAACTCATTTTGATGGAAACCTATAGCTACTGTCCCATGAATCAGTATTACAAATAACACATTTCTACCAAGATGATACAGAACAAAGAAAAACAATCAGAAGTGGCGCAGACGTCCAAAATGGCCGCCTAATATCCCCTGCATCTTTGTGATTATTGGTTAATATTTTCCTTATTGTTCCCATACTTCAGAATAACTGGACTTTATAAAACTCGGTGCACAAAGCATGTTTTCTATTGTGTGATAAAGACAGAACGAGCACCTGGAAGCCATATAGATTATTATAATGGGTTTTAATTTCAACATGAATTATTATTTTTAGACGTTTTTCCTGTGATGTTTTGAAACTTAGAAAATATAGGAAATGTATTTATTTATTTTGTTATGTATTTATTTATACATTTATTTTCTTGTTAAATTATATTTTGTATTTATTAATTTAGTTATTAATGTATTCATTTATTTACTTATTTATTAATTTAGTTATTTATTCATTCATTTATTGAGTTATTTATTTGTTAATTTATTAATTCTAATCTTAGTTATTTATCTATTAATGCATTTATTTATTGGTGTTTTTTTTAATTAATGTATTAATTTCGTCCTGCATTTCTTATTTCCTATCTCCTGATATGCAATGTGAAAGAGTTAGAGACATTTGAAGGGCTATAGACTCTAGATTTATGAAGTTATATATATATTATCTGTTTATCTTAGCGCTCTGTTTGTGATATTGAGAGGGATGTAAACATTCACAGAAACTGAACAAAGACACAAACCAGTGTAAGATAAAAACAAAATGCACTTAAAATGTTAATTTCTGTTAATTATAAATGTGGTTATTTAGGTTTCTGTGAATTACTTCTGGCAGAACATTTACATTTCTCTTTCTGTGATGATGTGAATGGATTTAAGGAGGATTATTTCTAAGACTTGTGTACGATATGTGACCGTTAAAGACCGAGGAAATAAATGCAGTTTAGGGATAACGTCTGTTTTAAAGAGTCGTTGTTTACCTTTCATTTGCATGAGTTTACTTGGCCCTTTCTCATTTCTCTAATTCCCCTCCTCGACTCCTATCCTCGGTTCCCCTCCTCGACTCCCTTCCTCGACTCCTATCCTCGGTTCCCCTCCTCGACTCCTATCCTCGGTTCCCCTCCTCGACTCCCCTCCTCGACTCCTATCCTCGGTTCCCCTCCTCGACTCCCCTCCTCGACTCCCCTCATCGACTCCTATCCTCGACTCCCCTCCTCGACTCCTATCCTCGGTTCCCCTCCTCGACTCCTATCCTCGACTCCTATCCTCGGTTCCCCTCCTCGACTCCCCTCCTCGACTCCTATCCTCGGTTCCCCTCCTCGACTCCTATCCTCGGTTCCCCTCCTCGACTCCTATCCTCGGTTCTCCTCCTCGACTCCTATCCTCGGTTCCCCTCCTCGACTCCTATCCTCGATTCCCCTCCTCGACTCCCCTCCTCGACTCCTATCCTCGGTTCCCCTCCTCGACTCCTATCCTCGGTTCCCCTCCTCGACTCCTACCCTCGGTTCCCCTCCTCGACTCCTATCCTCGGTTCCCCTCCTCGACTCCTACCCTCGGTTCTCCTCCTCGACTCCTATCCTCGGTTCCCCTCCTCGACTCCTATCCTCGGTTCCCCTCCTCGACTCCCCTCCTCGACTCCCCTCCTCGGTTCCCCTCCTCGACTCCCCTCCTCGACTCCCCTCCTCGACTCCCCTCCTCGACTCCTATCCTCGGTTCCCCTCCTCGACTCCTATCCTCGGTTCTCCTCCTCGACTCCTATCCTCGGTTCCCCTCCTCGACTCCTATCCTCGGTTCTCCTCCTCGACTCCTATCCTCGGTTCCCCTCCTCGACTCCTATCCTCGGTTCCCCTCCTTGAATCCTGTTGCTAGGCAGATCATGTTCTACTGCAGCATTTTATTTAACCAGTTAAGCCCCATGCCCCAAGGGTAATACCAAGCTTCTGAATTAGCCCTGAGCGAAAAAATGCTAACGCACTTAGCACAGAACTCACGGTAAAATATCCTTATTACTTATCGGATCTGCACAAACAAGATATCAGCTAGCAAGCTGAGATTCCACAGAAATATAAGTATCATCACTGAGCGATCAGAACTCGCGGCAGGGGAAGCAAAACATCACACAACGTAGCTTTACGGAGCAAACACGGGAAATATGTCTTACCTTTTGCTGTTTCTGATCAAAAGTGGTCTTCAATGGCATTAAAACGATAACATCGCTGCTGAAGGTTAATCCATAGGTTAGTCCAATGTGTCTGTCACTTTGAAATGATTACTGACAATCCATCTTCATATTTATGTCAATAACGGAGATTTCATATATAGCTGCTATGATAGCTACGAAAGTGTATGACAGCTTCCGGTTTTGGGCATTCTGGCTACGCATCACTCATTCACCAATAGGTCATGTTTAGATAAAGAGCAGATCGCGTTCACACCGGAATAAGTCCCTGAGGGAGGATTAGGCAAATGAAGCCGCTGACGTCACTTCGTCTTCTTCTGCTTTGGGTTTACTGGCAGGCCGCAAACCACTTCACGGTGTATACTGCCACCCGGAGTCCCCGGCCGGAAGTCCCCGGAGTTGGGGACTGGCTTCAGTAGAAGCTGCTGGGACTCCCAGCAGCTTCTACTGAAGCCTTCAGAGTAAATCACCAGAACGCCAACACCTCCTCATCTCTCCACCGCTCCCATGTTTTCTTTTGTGTTGCCATAAGTTAGTCTCTCTCCGTTGGTGCGCTGGGCTAATGCTAATAATGCTAATGCGAGGAAAATAAAATGGCGGCTTCACAAAATGTTTTGGGAGTTTTACGGGGCGTGGTTTGCAATCCGCATGAGAAATTAGAACCTTTTTCTCCCGTGAAAGTACCTGCTCTCTAGCAGGGACTGAAAAGGGGGTGAAAAGGTTCTCATTAACTCATTTCTAGTTCCTGATTTGTTTGGTGTGAACGCACATTTTCTGAACTATATCGGAACTATACTGGGAAAAGTACTCCGGTGTGAAAGCGCCTATAGTTTGGATTCCTAAAGCTTTTAGTCTCCGATCCCATCATTCAAGGGTGGTTTTCACTATAAGTAATGTTTTTTTTTTGGACGGGAACCTATAAGTTACATTTTTTTACTTTGTTCAATCTGGATTTACTTTAAAATAAAAAAAATCTATATTGATTCTGACTCTTCTACATCCAACTCACAGGTTTATCATTGCTTTGAGAAAAAAGATTATTAATTTACCCCTTTTAGAAGTGAAGTTATAGTCATTTGTTCTGGGAATGTCATTTTCGAGCCTGAGACCTGAAAAACAGGCTCAGGGCTTAACAGGTTAATTAAGATATACTTTTATGTATTGCTTAACAGTAAATAGTGATATTTTTATTGCATTTTTGTTAAATAACTTACCCGGTGCAGACTAAACCCTGAACAATGATCACAATAATAGTCAGTAGCCGTAGTTTACTGTACTTTATTGTGATGATGTGTAAAATATGTCCTGTAAAAAACCCATAATGGCAGTAATAAGTATGTATAAATATATTTGGGAAAATATAAAAGTCAAGTCCTTTGGGTGGGAAGTGTAAATGTGCCTTTTGTTACTAAAAATAAACACAATGCATCTTGTTCATAAATGCAGGTTACAATTATAATTTCCTTAACAAATACGCTTAACTACATTTGGCAGGAGACGCTTATTGGTATTTATTTTGGGATGTAGCTAATTCCTGGAATCAAAGTAGTGAAAGGTGTTTTTGGGCTGTGGCTAATTCCTGGAGTAAAAGTGAAAACGTGTTTTTGCAGCATTAGTGGATACATTCAAAGGGGTTTAATATGCACAAACACTCCCGCGTTTACGTGCATTGTGTCTAAATCCTTTCTCTCTTTCCTCCTCTTCCTCTTCCTCCCCAGGACAAGCTGTGTCTGCCCCATCACATCCTGGAGGAAAAAGGTCTTGTGAGGCTCGGGGTGACGGTGCATGCGCTGCTGGAGGAAAGGTCCTGCAGACACCTGACGTGAAACACTCTCTCACACACACACAGGATGCACAGATGTTAAGGGAGATGTAATCACTGAATCCTAAAAGAGTGCCGCACAGATCCAAGTTTCTCTCACCTTTAATTATGATTTCTTTATATCCTGCGTTTCTTCAGGAGAACACAGGAGAACAAACTGATACCTGGAGAGTGATTTAATTCTGTTTGACCAAGCATGACGGACTCTTAGGGCCACTGTGAGCAAATTGATAACATTATGAGATTAAAGTGGTTTGTGGGAGTTTAAGGAAACAAGACTAAATAAATTACAAGTTTAAGTCATATAGAAATATGACTTTTTCTCATTAAAAGTTGAATTATTGTCATTTAATTAACTTTTCTCACCATTTTTGGAAATAATCGTCATTTTATTTAGAAAATCCGAGATATCTTTCCCTCTACCGTGGCCCTAAAACTGTTGTACGAAAATAAAAGCAGGTTTTTAAAGGTAAATTCGATTTGGTGGATACTATGCAAACCTGTTCTATATTAACAGACGTCTAGTCTAAACAAGGATCTCTTAATCTGTATTTAATCATAAAGATATTTATAATATAAAGAGGAGAACGTGTTTGAGTTTCAAAAAGAAAAACGCCACAAATATTTTCTCTAATATATTTGAGGTATTCCTGTTTCTGTGGAGCTCTGTGCGTGAAACACAAAACACAACAGGTGGTTGTTATTCTCATTAAATCCTCCCTCACGTCTCCTTTAAGGCTTTTTCTGTGAAATCTCTTCAGCAGTTTTTGTTTCCTCGTGAGATTCAGTTTGCTATCGTGCCAAAAGTCAGAAGCTCCTCAGGTCTGTTTCTGCAGGATCCATCCCATAATAATCCAGATTTGTGGGTAGATATGAACAATCCTCCGCACTGAGACACTTGACATCAATCACAGCTGGGTTTTAGGGTGGACATTTAACAAAAAACCTCCAATTATGAGTCTAAAATAACCAGAAATATAAAGTGTTTGAATCCTGTTGCTAGGCAGATCATGTTCTACTGCATCATTTCATTTAAAGGGGCAGTACGTAATTGTTGGTGTTTATCGTCCTCTGCTGTCACTGATTTATTTAGATTATATTTATTGTACACAGCAGTGTACATGAACAGTCATCTAAAAGTCCCGCCCACTTACTGTCAGTCATCTAAAAGTCCCGCCCACTTACTGTCAGTCATCTAAAAGTCCCGCCCACTTACTGTCAGTCATCTAAAAGTCCCGCCCATTTACTGACAGTCATCTAAAAGTCCCGCCCATTTACTGACAGTCATCTGAAAGTCTCGCCCACTTACTGTCAGTCATCTGAAAGTCCCGCCCATTTACTGTCAGTCATCTGAAAGTCCCGCCGACTTACTGTCAGTCATCTGAAAGTCCCGCCCACTTACTGTCAGTCATCTCAAAGTTCCGCCCATTTACTGTCAGTCATCTAAAAGTCCCGCCCATTTACTGACAGTCATCTGAAAGTCCCGCCCACTTACTGTCAGTCATCTGAAAGTCCCGCCCATTTATTGACAGTCATCTGAAAGTCCCGCCCACTTACTGACAGTCATCTAAAAGTCCCGCCCACTTACTGACAGTCATCTAAAAGTCCCGCCCATTTACTGACAGTCATCTAAAAGTCCCGCCCATTTACTGTCAGTCATCTATAAGTCCTGCCTCATTTCTGTCAGTCATCTGAAAGTTCCGCCCACTTACTGTCAGTCATCTAAAAGTCCCGCCCACTTAATGTCAGTCATCTGAAAGTCCCGCCCACTTACTGTCAGTCATCTGAAAGTCCCGCCCACTTACTGTCAGTCATCTGAAAGTCCCGCCGACTTACTGTCAGTCATCTGAAAGTCCCGCCCACTTACTGTCAGTCATCTCAAAGTCCCGCCCACTTACTGTCTTAGATTTTTTAATTTATGAGGAAAAAAAACTCTAAAATTCTCTGAGATTAGATTTTTTTAATATACAAAAAATAAATAAAATTATCTCTAATGATCTGAAGTAAAAACAATTACAAAAAATCTATATATACTCTTAAATTAAATTAGCAAATGTATTTATAAAAATGCTGAAAATTATCTGAGACTAATTAAATACAGCAAACTATCAATACCATATCAAATGTACGTACCGGCCCTTTAAGAACACTCTCTATCCGGCATCATGTTTTTATTTAAATGCAATAAAACACCTTTATTTCCCGACGCTCTGAACCTGCAGGATTTAATGAACGAGTGAATATAAGTTGTTATTGTTTGTGTAAATACGAAGCAGCTTGGTATCCAAAGCTTTATCTCCTTATAGATTCAGCAGGTCAATAAAATGACACGTTTCCACCGGACCATTCAACGGTTGCCAAAACAAACATTTCTCTTTATTTAAATGTGAATATAATAAATCACAAGTATCTCTGCTTCTTGTATATTTCACCAGAAAACACCTGAATTATCCACAATATCACGTGTTTTAATGCCAATAGATCTTGCATTCTGACAGTCTTATAACACACGTACTGGTTTGTATTGATCAGATATAATGTGATTATTATCCTGTGTGAAATAGAAATAAAGCAGCAATATGTCTTTCTTATATTTCTTATATTTCCCGCTGAAAAACAACTCTAGGATTTTTATTATTATTTATTATAGTTATTTTAGCGTTTCTTACACTGGTTAAATATGTGGTCAGATTTGAGAGGAGAAACATGGAGATTAAATATAAATAATATTATGAGAATAAAGCTTTATTGGGAGTTTAATAAATAGATATAATTCAACATAAAAATGTGAATTAAGTTGTGATTTTATTATTAATTTAAGTTGCTTTTTTATTTTTATAATATTGTATTTATACCTAATTTTATGGGGGGAAAATGCATCTTTATTCTCACAATATTACACATTTTCTTAAATAATTACATTTATTTCTAAACTTTCTTTGTGGTTTTAAAATATATGTTTATTACGATTCATATAAAGTCATAATTGATCATATTTGGAGATTTGGTTCCAATTTTATTGGTGAAAACAGGAAGAAATCAGGAGTAAAACGTGATTAAAAACTTTAAATAAAGCTGGTTTTCGCTCCACAGTTCTGTTCACAGAATCTGCACTTTAATAAACTTTAATACACTTTATTTATATCTTTGTTTTGGCAACTGAGGGAATCTGAAATGAGAGTTTTTAAATGTGTAAATAATCCCTGCTGAGTTTGTAAATATATCTTTCCTGTTTTCACAGTTTTGTACTTTTCTGAGCGAGGAGGAGGAGATTTATTTAGATGTGACTTTGTGAACCTTTTGTAGCGTTTGTTGTTCAGCAGAATGCATGTTCCTCTAGCTGCTGAGAGATCTGTAAATAAAGCTCCAGAAACACCTCAGACTGACTCCACTACTTTGTCTACACATATCAATATTAAAGGGGACCTATTATTTAAAATCAACTTCTTCATGTCTCTTCTTCATCAACATGTGTCCCCTCTTCTTCATGTCTCTTCTACATCAACATGTGTCCCCTCTTCTTCATGTCTCTTCTACATCAACATGTGTCCCCTCTTCTTCATGTCTCTTCTTCATCAACATGTGTCCCCTCTTCTTCATGTCTCTTCTACATCAACATGTGTCCCCTCTTCTTCATGTCTCTTCTACATCAACATGTGTCCCCTCTTCTTCATGTCTCTTCTTCATCAACATGTGTCCCCTCTTCTTCATGTCTCTTCTTCATCAACATGTGTCCCCTCTTCTCCATGTCTCTTCTACATCAACATGTGTCCCCTCTTCTTCATGTCTCTTCTACATCAACATGCGTCCCCTCTTCTTCATGTCTCTTCTACATCAACATGTGTCCCCTCTTCTTCATGTCTCTTCTACATCAACATGCGTCCCCTCTTCTTCATGTCTCTTCTACATCAACATGTGTCCCCTCTTCTTCATGTCTCTTCTACATCAACATGTGTCCCCTCTTCTTCATGTCTCTTCTACATCAACATGTGTCCCCTCTTCTTCATGTCTCTTCTTCATCAACATGTGTCCCCTCTTCTTCATGTCTCTTCTACATCAACATGTGTCCCCTCTTCTTCATGTCTCTTCTACATCAACATGTGTCCCCTCTTCTTCATGTCTCTTCTTCATCAACATGTGTCCCCTCTTCTTCATGTCTCTTCTACATCAACATGTGTCCCCTCTTCTTCATGTCTCTTCTACATCAACATGTGTCCCCTCTTCTTCATGTCTCTTCTACATCAACATGTGTCCCCTCTTCTTCATGTCTCTTCTACATCAACATGTGTCCCCTCTTCTTCATGTCTCTTCTACATCAACATGTGTCCCCTCTTCTTCATGTCTCTTCTACATCAACATGTGTCCCCTCTGTGTAAAGAGACTCTGAAAGTTTCAGGAACAAAGATTCTCTCTCTTTTTCTCCTGATCCATTTTTATAAAAACCTGTCTGAAAATGAGCTGATCAGATTTTGGCCACTTTATGATGTCATCACGATGTTTTGTCTTGTGTAACCATTAGCCAATCAGCAACCAAGGTACATGCAGCAACTTACATGATGCCGTTTTAAAACATGGACCGATGCCGTGCTTCCCTGAGCGTCAAATACCGCCGCCGATGGGAATACATTGCAATCAGTTGAAAGCTCTTTGTATCCGTTTATGAAGCTGAAGGAGACTCGGCGCATCACAACTGCACGCCATGGACCCTGACCAAGCGTCGCTATCGGACTATCAGGGAGTGAGACTGTGTTGGATCACGCACACCGGTGCCTTATATACCTGTGCGTGCCAGTACTACTGGTCTGTCTTACATAATTATCCACGTCATCTGTCAGGTGGGGACATATGGAATATGTAGCTGGGTGGAGAGATAGTCTGTTCACTCAGAGAACAACGGTTACAATGTAACCTACAGTTATCTGCCAGCCAGAGGTGAGCTGTTGAAAAGTGCATTGTATCTAGAGTAAGCCAGCTGTTAGTGACAATCCCTGAAAGTTTCCATATGTAATTTCGTGGAAGGTAATATATTTTTGAAAATAAACATTTTGACCCAAGACCACAAGAAAAACTGTCAAGTTTAGTCCTAAAAGTGAATGTCAGCTCTCAGGTTTCAGGCCCGCTTTTTGTGATATATTTGGTTATTTAGTGTTTATTCTACTTCTATCATAGATGCATTAAAATGATTAATGCAAAACACTTTCTTTTCAAAGCAGCACATTCACACTAAACCTGCATGGAAAGTGACCAATCTTACTAACATTTCACAAAATATGTTCTTGCTAAAATAGTTCACCAAAGCAAACGTTTTGGACAAAAAACTGCCGATCTTTGTAATTTACTGTACGTATAACATTAAAGTTAAGGCAGGGGGCCAAACATAGAAAGCTTGATAGATTATTAATTCCCATAATCCTCAGCTGCACTGATAATTATCTAATGTTAGCATGCTTAATAAACTAACATGTTCCAAATGGCTAACAATAGCATTTAATTTAAGTAAAGGTGAAAAAGCAGGGACTCACATGGCTGTAGACTGTTGTTTATTGAATATATTACATCATCATTACATTTTCATTATAGTAACAAAGGGTGAATGATTCACAACAAAATATTAAAACACAATAACAACAGTAAGTGGTGTAACCTCACAATGCCTAACATACAGTACACCTCAAATCCTGTCAAATCTACTTTTTATGAGGATATGTTAAAAAAAAAGACATTTTAATATTGACCTTAAATATGCACGAAGAGGCAGCACATAATATGTGTTCTAACTTTAAATCTATTACATTTAACAGAATAGTAATATTTTAACATTTGAGGGAAATTCAAGCCAAATCTGAGTTAAATCAAGTATATAATATTGTTGTTGTGCTTTATGTTGATCTCTATCTATGCATATATCCCTTTAAATAATTATGATAGGAAACACAATCTAACATGGTCAACATATTCCTTTTATATTTCAGCAGCAGGACCCTTCTTCAGAAATCTTAACACGACTCCTTTGATTTGAGGCAGACCCGGGCCATAAACGATAGGGTTATTGAGGGGGGGAATGATCAGATACGCTAAAGACAAAATAGCTGTGATGCTTGGATTCAGTTGATCAGCCTCTAATCGAGTCAAATACAACTCGCAGAAGAGAGAGATGGAGTAGGTCAAAAAGGAGACGATGTGAGGCAGGCAGGTTTGTAACGCCTTTCCTCTGAATTCAGACGAGCTCCTCCTGCAGACCAGCAGAATCCGTAGATATGTGTACAGGACGAAGAACATGGGGATGATGATGATGGTCACCGTGAGAAACTGACCAGTTATGTTGTTTGGAGTGGTGTCCACACAGCAGGCCTGAAGTGTGAGAGTGTGTGGTGTGTGTGTGTGTGTGTGTGTGTGTGTGTGTGTGTGTGTGTGTGTGTGTGTGTGTGTGTGTGTGTGTGTGTGTGTGTGTGTGTGTGTGTGTGTGTGTGTGTGTGTGTGTGTATAAAACACGATTAAACATGATAGTATAAACCATGCTCGTATCTACAACCTATAGAAATGCAAAACGGCGTCAGTTTAGACGTAATTCTGTCCTCCTGCTTACCGCATCATTTATGAGAAAACATTTCATAACATTAACACAACATATTCGAGGTGGTTTTAAATAACATATCCGTATTTATTTATTTCTCCAAGTTATGTGTTTGTGTGCACTGAGGAGTCTCAAACAGGCGTTTGTTTAATCATTTTAAGATTGGCTTTAATCAATGTTTGAAAATGAATTCTTCATATTTGATAAATGAGAGGTAACATTTTATTGATGGTATTATTTCCACATATTTCTCTCCCTTCTTTCTTCTGCCAACGGTGTCGCAGTTTCTCGTCTCTCCCGTTGTTGTGCTTAGTGCGTACGCATGGGTTAGAGCAGGGGTACTCAAACTTTTTTATTAAAGGTCCAGTTGTGAACTTTATACAAGGTCACTGGTCCGGATCAATGCCAGTAAAGTCCGTCCGTCCCCCCCGTCCCCCGTCCCCCCGAGCGGAGAAACGAAACTGAAATTAAGAAGCAGTTTCTTGGCGCTCTATGCATGGGTGTTTCATGTTGTCGTTGCTGTGGACCTTCTTAATCTACCTTCTTTGGGGGACCCCTTCTGGTCCAAGCACTTGCCTGCCTTGCCTGTCGGTAAACGGCGCCCGTGTATGCACACACACATTCAATACATACATACAGTATGGTGGCTTGAACTAGTGGGAGAAATGGCACTGTTTGTCTGTAGTCAATGCTTTGAACCTCTGCAAAAAAGGCATTAGAATCATTAGAAAGTCAAGGTAAACTTGCGGTTAACTTGCGGTCTGCTATGCGTGTCACGCTCGCACACACAAGTAAATATATATGCACGTTCATTCTCACAACGCGTCAGACACAAGACGCGCGTACATGATGATGTACATTAATTTATTAGAATCAGAATTCTTTTTTTTTTTTAAGAATTTTTTATAATGGGACACAGGGTTCGGTCCGGATTGATTTGCAGTTCGGTCCGGATCCGGACCTTGGTCCGGAGTTTGAGAAGCCCTGGGTTAGAGTTTGCGTGGAGGACCGCACATTTTCCCGTCAAGTTAGTATTTTATAAATCGCAAACATTGCGTGGAAACTGGTGCCCGCCATATTTTGAGCGTATATCCCTTTATAAATGAGGCCCCAGAGCTTGAAACAAAATATTAATAAAACGCTGCTGTTTGAATCGATAGCGTTAAACAGACGGTCGCTGTTTGGGACGTTACGTTACAAAATACTACACAGACAGCGCTACCTGGGAGATCGATCACTTTTATTTGCTAAACTATGCGGTACTATTAAATCCACGTAAATTACACATCACAGCCATGAGGCCAGATCAATTAAACCAGGATGCATCCTTTACCGTCAACCTGGGTCTAAACACAGCTGCATGTGTGCGTTTGATAAATACTTTCTGATTTCATATTTATTATATATGCTACTTATTAGCTAAATGGCCCTAACGCAGGGCGTTGGCCAACTTGAGGCCCCACGCAAAGTTATATGATGAGTAGGGTTGGGAACCGAAACTCGGTTCCAGATGAGAACCGATAAGAAAATGCCGGGTACCGGGTACCCATACAAAATACACAATTTCGGTTCTGCTTAACGGTTCCTAAACACGGTAGACCCTGTGTTCCACCGGGTCCGTCTGCGCCGCGGTGACCCGGTGGAATACAGGGTAAGGGCGGACTGGCCATCTGTGTGTTCTGGAGAATCACAGAACGGCCGGTCGTCAGCGGGCCGTTGACGGCCGGCTCGGTACGCTGACGGCCGGCACCGCCCTTAATTTTTTTAAACGGCATCATGTAAGTTGCGCTGACAGGCGCCAGAGGT